ATAGGACAGAAAGTGACTTCTATACTTTTAAAATTTATGCAAAACTTAGGAGGTCTTTAGACCGAGCCAACTATACCTGGTGGGTATAATGCCCAGGTGGTACCATTACTAAAATAATAAAGATCGGCATAAAAGTTTTTACGTTTATTTATTATAATTACAAACAAGCATAACATATAGAATCTATTTATTCTATTTATAAAAATAATACAATTTTACATACTTAATAATGATTCAAATTGCAAATATCTATGATTCTTTACCCACACCCCAACCATTTAAACTAGTAAATGCGACATATTAAGACACCCAAGTGTTTATAAACAATAATTTAGATAAGCATAATATTAAATTCATAGCATGACTACAAATTACAGTTGAAAGTAATACATTAATAAATAAAAGTTATTCAATCCATAAATGTGTTTGCATAGTGACCAAATCGTCTACATTTTCCACATTTACGACCTTTTATGTTAGAATTTTCACCACCTTCGCATATTTTTCAAACAAATTTTTAATCATTTGCGATGCATCAAAATCACCAGGGTTATTTTGTTGACGAATATTATAGACAGCATTGTAAAGGTCGCGTTTATTAATGGTGTTTTGTGGATAATCGTTAATTAGCAATGGATATATTGAAGCCGAATCCTTCCTTCCTTTAACTACATATTTTTTGATATCTTTTAACATGGAAGAAGTAAGTTTCTGAAATTGAGGTACCATTTCACCTATCATTGTGTTCAAAGAATGATTGTGTGCATTTACAAAGGAATTAATTTTTATTACATTACTTGACTTTGGAAAAGAAAGATTAATATGCCATGGACATTCTATTTTTTGAGAATGGACATTATGATGTTTTGTAGGATCTGTTGTAATTTGTGGATTGTGTTTGCCTGATTTTGTACATTCATATGTTAACCTTGTTACAATACCATCTTCAGATTCGCTTCGTCTAATCCTATAACTAAAACCCTCTCGTAATGCAAAATTATCAAAAAATAATTTTGCCTGTTCCCACGAAACGAAACTAAGTCCTTCTTCCAGATTCAACTTATCAGTAAAATCAAATGAGTGTAAATTTTGTGACATTTTTGTTGTTGAAGGTGAAATTATAAAGAATAAAGTTTATTTTTTATGTTAAGTTGCACAAACACATATCCGGGTATGTTTAGATATTTTCTATTATTATTATTATTTAATAAAATTAGCTAAAAAAAAAATACTCACCCAATCTGCATCGACATCCAATGCCCACCAGAATTTTTCATGAAGACTTTTGTTAAAAAACTTAGCAATTAGTATGCCATATTTTTTACACCATGCAATGGAGATGCGTGGGTCTAAGTAATTGATTTTTGACGTACCCAACATAATTGTCTTATTATCTTCTTTATCTTGTTAAATGTATATAAAGATTTTTAATGTTGCGAAAAAATTTTTTTTTGATACATCAATCTCAGCCCAAAATCAATAATATTTATACACTTTAAAGTTACTTTATTTCTTTTTTTGATAAATAATAAATTTATCCTTTGTTTATTTACTTTAGTAGATTCAAATAGATTTTATTAAATCAAAAATGATACAATACAGCAAAGTTTCGGAGAACCCAAGTGTATCAATTACACGAAAACACACTATGAAGTTAACTTATTACAAAGTCATTTTTAAAGTACAACGAATTCTTGTTCCTTATATACATGTTTAATTAATTAATATTCCATCTGGGCGAATTATTCCATTTGAGATTATTACCATTAATGCCTTCCCAAATAAATAATAATAAATATACGAAATGTAACAACAAATACAGATATTAATAATAAATAATTGTATTAGGAACAAGAATATTTGGTTTTATCGGTGCTGAATTGAGGGATAGAAAATGGGGAAGGTTGTTAGTTTGGCTCGAAGAGTTGTTTAAATTCAAGTATTGTTTTATCAGTATTTAAAATTATATTTTTTAATATTACTATCCAACAATTTATATTAATAATATAGAATAACAATAATACATATATAAATATTTATGAAAGTAATTAATAAAATTAATAAAAATAATAATCAATAAAATATTATTTGTCAAAAAAAATTGTGTGTAGTTTGATAAGGTAAAAGATTAAAAATCTCCACAATCACCACCAAAATCGAATCCATCTCCACCACCGAAATCGAATCCACCACCACCACCAAGATCAAATCCACCATCTCCACCACCGAAATCGAATCCACCACCACCACCAAGATCAAATCCACCACCAGCATCAAGAGAATCATTTAATGAAGTCATGTCAAAAGCGCCACCTCCAGAACCCTATTAATTTTTAAATTAAATTAACAGTAAATATAAATTGATGATCGATCTATTAATTAATCCAATATACTTACAATGTCAAAATCTCCGTTAAGGTTACCACCATCAAAATTTCCATCAAATCCATTGTCGAAATTACCATTATCTCCACCGAAAGCACCACCGTCATCATAACCATTATAATTATTGCCATCGTCGTAACCATTGTAGTTATTGCCATCATCATAACCATTGCAATTATTGTCGTCATAACCATTGTAGTTATTATCGTCGTAACCATTGTAATTGTTGTCACCGTCATTGTAATTATTGTCAGCACCATCATAACCATCGTAATTATTGCCACCGTCGTCGTAACCATTGTTATTATTGCTATAATCGTCATAATTATTATCATCACCACCATAATCATTGCCACCACCATCATCATTCTTGGCATCATTATAACTATCATAATTATCGCCACCACCGCCATAATCACAATCACCATAATCATTGACATTATCATCACAATCATCATAATTATTATCACAACCATCATAATTATCACCACCACAATCATCATAATCTTCGTAATCATTATCATCATAATCATCACAATCATAATCATCATTTTCATCATCTACATTGTCATCTACATCATCTTCTTCATATTCATTGTCATCTACATCATCCTCGTCATCATTACCATCTAAATCATCTTCATCATCTACATTGTCATCTACATCATCATTCACATAATCGTCTTCTTCGTCTACCTCATTTGTTTCATCTTCATCTTCGTCCACTTCTTCATCTTCGTCTGCCTCATTTGTTTCATCTTCATCTTCTTGTTCTACTTCTTCATCTTCGTCTGCCTCATTTGTTTCATCTTCTTCATCTTGGTCTACTTCGTCTTCGTTATCATCATCATCTTCAACGTCTTCATTATCGTCATCATCTTCAGCATCTTTATCATATAGATTTTCTGCAAAGAATTCACCATCTTCACTATTTTCAGCATCTTCAGTACTATCATTTTGGTCATCCTCACAATTTTGTGCAGATACATCATCATCTTGATTTAGATCTTGCTCGTCTGCTTGTCTGTTTGGTTGTGGCCGACGTCTTTGCCTTGGTACTCGCTTTCGTGGGACTTCTTTTGTTCGAGTTTGTTGTTGCTGTGGTTGTTTCCGATTTTTTGTTTGGACTTTTCTTGAACCATTATTATTCGATGCTGGTTGCAGAACATTATTATTTGTAATTTGTGGTTGTGGTTGTGGTTGTGATTTTTGTCTTTGTGGTTGTGGTTGTTTCTTTGGTTGAGGTTCTTGCAGTTTAGATGGTTTTTGTTTTATGGATGTTTGTTTTTGTGATTGTGGAGATTCAAGAGATTCTTGTACTTTATGTGGTTTTATGGATTTTTGTTTTTGTGGTTGTTTCTTTGGTTGAGGTTCTGGTAACTTTTGTAGTTTTTGTTTCTGTGGCTCATGAAATTCATGAGATTCTTGTACTTTAAGTAATTTTGGTTTTATGGACTTTTGTTTTTGCAGCTTTTGAGGTTCAGGAAGTTTTTGTACTTTAGGTGTTTTTTGTTTTATTGGTTTCTTTGGTTGAGGTTCAACGGGAGGTAGTCGTTGATTTTTTTTAGATCGTTGTGTATTTTCTGATGATGGATTTTTTTGATGTCGAGTATTATTATTAACGTTAGATGTTGGAACTACTGTTTGCGATGGTCGTTGTACTTTCCCTCTAGGTTGTGATGGCAAGACTTTTTTTAGATTTTGTGTTGGTTGTTGTAGTGGTGGTTGTTGTAGTAGTGGTGGTTGTTGTAGTGGTGGTTGTTGTGGCAGTGGTTGTTGTGGCAGTGGTGGTAGAGGTTGTTGCATTTGCCGTGGTTGTCGTGGTTGTTGTGGTTGTTGTGGTTGTTGTTGTGGTTGTTGCACTGTTTGTACAGTATTATTTGTAATTATGGTTGTCCTGGTAGTTGGAGTAAACGCGCTTGCAAGACCCTGAATCATTGAATTACAAACTATTTTCGATAAATAAGCCAAAATTATTACATTAGTATTTTAATTATAACAATAAAAAACAAATATGATAATAAGTTAAACTCACCAACAGCTGTCGCTTTTACACCAACTGCTGCTGCTTTTACAATTGGTGCAGGCTCTTTAGTTACAATAACCTAATAAATAAATATTACCAATCAATCAATCAGTCAATAATATTATATTGACTATTCGATCAATTATTTTTTTTTAAAAAAAAAATTACCTGTTGGTGTTGTTGTTGATAAGTAGTAGTTTGAGTTGTATTATTATAATTTTGATTATTAGTTTGTGCTGAATGAGGGACGACTGCATTAGAGCCTACATTATAAGTTGAAATTTGTTGTTGTTGTGGCGGTGGCATGGGATTCACTACATTGTTATAAGCAGTAGTATTATAAGAATAATGTTGTTGTGACGGTTGTGGTTGTGGCGGTTGTGGCAGTTGTGGTAGTTGTGGTTGTATTTTATTTACTGTTACGGAACTATTGGAATTATAGGAGTAATGTGGTTGCTGCTGCTGCTGCTGCTGCTGCTGCTGCTGCTGCTGCTGCTGTGGATACTGCTGTTGTGAATACTGCTGTTGTGGATACTGCTGTTGTGAATACTGCTGTTGTGGATACTGCTGCTGTGGATACTGCTGCTGTGGATACTGCTGCTGTGGATACTGCTGCTGTGGATACTGTTGATGCTGATTTTGATACTGCTGTTGGTTCTGATACTGCTGCTGATTATGATTCTGATACTGCTGCTGATTATGATTCTGATACTGCTGTTGATTCTGATAATGGTTAAAATTTTGTTGTTGTTGTTGTTGGTTATGGTATGGGGGAGGAGGTTCTTGCCATTGTTGTTGTTGTTGTTGTTGATTATTGGTCGGAAAGCTCTATATCAATTAAGATATTATTTATTAAATTTGTTTCCTTTAAGATAAAAAAAATATCTAAAGAAAAGAAAGATTATTATTTACCACCGATGATATGTTTTTTTCAGGATTAAAATCTAAAAAAAAATAATAATTTTTTTAGTTTTTTTTTTTTCGAATAATTAAATAATAATAATAATGATAATAATAATACTTACAATATGTATTGTTATTTGCGTCAACCTAATATTAGTTAAAAAACAAAATTTTTTGCGAAAATCTTGAGTAAACTTTTCAACAAGGTGATGAAACAATTTTAATTTTAATGAATTATAATACACACCTCTTCTATCCACCCTGGCGGTAAGACTTGTGACATTTATGAGCGAAATGACTAATAGAAAGTAATAGAAAGTGGATGTGCAGTAGGCCTATTTACGTTTAGAAATAATGTTTACGATAAATGAAATATTTTTTGATCTTTGATTTTTTTCTAAAATTAAAAAAAAAATTTTGCAAAAAGTTACCGTTCATGTTAAATTTGTTTATTTATACGTATATTCATCCATATAAAAATCTATAAATGGAATACATACAAATATTGATTTTGTAAATCTATAATTTTTCAATCCATTCGTACAAATAAGCAGGTAGGTGTGATTTTTATGAAATTTTGTATAACAAATCTTTATTACACAAACTTAAAACTTTAAAATGGAAAAACTCTTCCATTGAGCCTATTACTACTGTATTCAAGTACAAGTTACACGTAGATAGGCTACATTAAGGTATTGCAAGTGATTCCATAATATATTTTTAAAAAGTATGTTACGGGCAGGCACTGCCTAATGATGAAATCGCAAATACCAAGATTTTGTTTTATGCGTCCACAGCATCCACCGGTTTATTGTTCATCAGTACAGATGACTACCTTACATCAAAGATGTCCACGGGATTTGTGGCCAGGTCAACATTTCTCTTGCTTGAAGTTTAGATCATTTTTGATCAAGTAACGAAACTGCATGATGGCTATCACATAACCATTTTGCTAATTTGACATCCATACACAAAATTTTTTTGTGGATCTGGTGCACGCATAGACAGAGCTTATATCTTTTTACGCTTATTCGCTTTACCATAATAGAATCCATTTCAATTCGAATTCTATCATAATGTAAGCATAAGCGATATAATCTACTTGTGCCCTCACCGCTTGGTCACTATTAGAACCTTGGCTTAATTTCAAATGGTACATAAGTAAAACGACTCATTGTGAAACGGACTAGTCATATTTTAATTCTCACCTTCAAGGAATGAATAAATGTCCATCTTCTCTGTTGATCTAAAATTTAATTTAAAATTTTCTTTCTGCAGTAATATTTGAATTTTAATTATCAATTAGGCCGATACCATAAGGGCTATCAAGAACCCATTTAAGATCAGAGTCTTTAAATACTTCTCTATTGATATAATTACCACGCAAATAAACTGCTCCAAAACATTTGTTATATGTCCAGCGAGCAGCATCAATCCCTCCGAATTAAGTTAAAGTCTGATTTAAAGGTCTTCCAGAGCGAAGTTTTTTTTTTTTGAAGAAAAAGAAGCCGAACTCTTCCATATGCCATCTGGTAAAATGAGAATATGATTTAAATCATTAGGTGTTGGGTCACGGATTACAGTTGATTCAACTAAAACCAATCAAAAGCTACTCTTTTTAAATAATCATCCCATTAACTAGTTTTAACACCAATTTTTGAGTGAGAATGCATTAAAACTTACATTCGAGGAAAAAGTTAGTTATGATGAATGAGTCACAGCCAATTGAGGAAGATCGTATAGGATTTTATAAAGGCAAATTTAATTATTTTAATAAGTAAAAATAAATTTTTTTGATTACGATCAAATTGATATAAGAATCGATGTTTTTAACAATACCAATAAAAAATTATATTTTGATTTTTGAAAACATATTTAAAGAACAATTTTTTTCTAAAGACTTTTCGGTTTGATCTAATTATAAACTTTGGTGTGACATTTGTCCACATGTGACATATTGCGGTATGTACATAATTTGTTTGTTTTGTCGTGTCGTAACACACACAAAGAATGAAACTTTAACATCCCTTTGTTTGATATATCTCTTTGAAAAATTAACTACATAATTAGATAAACAATGTTTGAAAGAAAATGCACGAAATTCTTTCTTAATTTGGATAAAGCCATACGAAAAAAACTAAAACTGTGGAAGTGTTAAATTCTCTTGCATTTTTTTGGTTCTTTAATTCTATGTAAATATATAGTGGCAAACAAATTTTATTTCTAGATTTGTCTAGCCCACACTTAATGCCGCAACTTTTTATTGGTGTCTAACAAAAGTTACGATTTCATTTTGTTGAGCCTCAAAGTTGCACTAATTTACTAATTTACCGGATTTATTATTACTATTATTACTATTATTATTTATTATTATTATTATGTTCATCATATTCAACTCTAAAATTAGCGCGTTACACAGTAAAGTTAATATCAAATTAAATTTTGAAACAAACGTAATTGCCATATGCAAGATAATTTATTCTTTATTATTATTATTATATAAAAAACACAAGTTCGACAACTTCCGAAGCCGAGAAAAATGTCACAAACACCCCAAGTTCATTTATTTCAAATTTAATAAATAGACTATTGTGTTGATCAAAGAAATGTGCAAATCATATATACCTGCTATCTTTCGCCTAGCACCAAGAATATATTTCATTTCATTTCTATTGTTAATATCAATATTTTACTTTAACTAATATTTATTATTGTCGATTTTACTATTTATGAAATGACTAGGAATATCACATTGCCAAACAATTTTTAGATTGGAAAATTTTTTCACAAATTTGGCGGTGTGGTGCAGAAAGTTATGGGGCTAGGTGACTTGCATCATAGCACCGCTTACGAAAACACTGTTGTATGTTAACGGTAACAAATCATATAAAGGACATATAAATAATTAATTTAAATTTTTTCTTTTTTTAGTCCACTACTCTTAAATTGGCAAGTCAACTTGGTCACCGCCACAGCCAATTTGAGAAAAATTTTTCAATCAAAATGTTTCGCGAGCACGTGACTTTTAATAATACCGTGTGTTTTATAAACGGATTGTTTATGCTTTACTATTATATAATAGTATGACACAACTTTGTATTTCTTAGTTGATGATTTAATTACGTGACCACAAAAAAAAAATTATTGTTGTTTGTTGTTGTTGTTGATTTTATTATTGTTGCAAAAAAAAATTTCAAATTAATTCTTCCAATTCGTCCATTCTATTTAAAAAAAGAATATTTGTAAACCTGTGCAATTTTGGCTTGATTTAACATATCAACAAAATGGAATCATAATGACCAAGTAAGTAAGTGACTTGTCCCTCTTATATGCGAACCTGTGTAACAGATGGCACTTTTTCTTCGAATTATATATATAAAGTTTTCCTGGTCCTAATAGTAATAATAGTAGTAATAGTATTAATACGTTTACTGTGTGATCGACATGGCATACAACGGTCTTTTAAAAATTAATTTTAGCTCTTTCAAACGCAATTTTTATTTCCATTGCAAACCTCGTTATGGAGCAATATGGCTACTGAAAGGATCCCATAGTTGTGTTTTTGGAGACACCATTCTTTTCGGAAAATAGCTTTATTAAAATTATTTCAGCATGGTAAGGTAAAGTGAACTGAGAATTTTCAGACAATATATGATTTGTATGAGGAACAATTAAAGCAAAAAAAACGTCTTTATAAGTATTTATTTACTGATGTTTTTCCTATTATTATACCAGTAATTTTTAACTTTTCTGATCCAAACAATTCGGCAAGTTTCTACAATTTATAGTCAATCGAGCAAATCTCAATTGAACACTAAAAAAATTTTCTTTTTATTATTACATTTAAAAAAGAGAATTTAGTTTTTACGTGTTGCGTATAACCTGCACTTTTTAAAACTTTTACTAATTGATTTACCCAAAACATAATACTGAATTTAATAGTGAGTGATTTTTACTCTTAAAATTCTTGGCCTTTTAATGCATCCATAATAATTTTATATACCCTATCAATAATGGTGACATTTTTCACTTTTCTATGTTAATATGTTTTTACCCTTGGTTTTGCTTGGGACCTCAATTAGAAGTTTCCGGGGTTCTAGCAAGGCGATTTTTGATTTTAGCTATCCAACGAATTTAATATATAGAGAACAATATTATTAATGTTTATATTTTATTACACTAAGATCACGTGAAATCCATTTTTGGGAATAAATGCCTTTAAAAATTTTTATGGATAATTAAGCAGGACACAGAATCAAGAATCTTTAGACCGCGCAAACCACTCAAAATTTTTAAAAATGTACCAATGAAGAATTATATATATTTTTAAAATCTTTTTAATATGAAATTTGGTGACACAAGGGACTCAAGGAAAAGTTGAGTTCAATTCTACCAATTGCCTGGTAAGAGTAGAATGTGCTTTTTTATTGAAAATATTGTTATTATGAATATTTAATTGGTATTTATCTATTTTGAAAGCTTTATTCAATAGTGTAACTATTCTATATGATGTTTAACTTGAATTCATATTCATAGTCACTATTATGTATGTAAATCTTGAATATCAACAGTCTCGCCCTATACAACTCAGAATTGGAAATACATAATCAATTCTCATGCGTAAGTATTCCAAACTTGTAAACATTTATTATATCTATTGTGAAGGAGTTTCTGGTTTGGTGGAGATGAAGCTAGGGATCAGTATGTCACTAACTAGCTTGCTTACCAGCTTGAGTGGAGATTTATTCGTGGAGCATATCCGAGAGCAAACTTTTATATAAAAAAAAAAGCCAAAGCTAACTTTTAATTGATTAAATACTTTCCTGAACTATTAGCAAAGACTAGGGATGTTGAACAGCACTAAAGGACCAGTGTTCTGATAGTCTGTCCTTGGGCTGAAACAATTTTAATAAAAAATAAAATAAACAAATCCAACAGATTTGTTTCCTGCTCTTATGTTAGATTCTTTTGCGCAATGACACAAAAATAAATAAATGCCAACAGTTGTTTATGAAGAATATAGATAAAGGGTATGAATGAATATATAAGAAAATTGAGATTTATTTCGAATGGATGTTCATTTAAAAGAGCTCAGCAGCAATGTTATTTACCACAAGTGAGAAGTTGCTATTGTCTTATGTGCAAATTCCTTTTCTTTGATTAAAAAAATAGTCGCCAAGAGCCAGCTCAAAATTTTTAATGTCATCATAAAGCGTAAATAATAAATTCAATATTAATATATAGTAATCCCAGGAATATATATAATAAACCATTTCCTCGACA